CCCGCCTCCCGCGGCTCCGGGCGGGCCGGCCCGTCCTCGTCGGCCCCGGCCGCTCCCTCGCCAGCGCGCTGCGCTCTCCTCCCCCCGCCGCTCCGGACACTGCGACGGCCTCGCCGGCAGCAGGAAATGACGCCATCACTCCGCGGCCAATCAGCGGAGGAGGCGGGGGGGGCTTCCCGGGATGCGAAACTCCTAGCCAATCATAGGGCTTCGTTCGTTGCCCTTCCTGCTTTGAGGTGTCGGCTTAGCCAATCGGCCACCCGTTTGCTGAGCACGTCTATCAACAAGCCCTTTGCTGATTGGACAGGCCCTCCAAGAACCAATCAGAATGTGTTTTCAATCCAGGCCCAGGCTCTCGAGCGCCCTCTGCCGCCCAGCCAGCTCCCAAGAGCCCCAGCGCCCCCTCCCGCGCGTTCATTGGCCTGGCAGGCCTGGGGCGGGACCCGCTGCCTGGAGCCTTGGGGCGGGGGGGCTGCTTTCCAGGACAGGGGCGCACACAGCCTGCAAATGCATTGGAGCAAAGGCTGCATTGAGCCCAGTCACCCCTGGGAGAACAAGCCAGAGGGCTAGAACCCCCCCATGGCCAACCACTAAGGCACAGACACGCTGTCTGCAATGCGTGGCTACTCTAGATCGCTCCTTTCAAAAACGACATGCCATGCTGCATGCCAATTTGTAATAGTTCTTTGTCTCCCCTCCCTTTGGGTCTTCAGCAGGGTTTGAATCCCAGACCTTTTATTAATAAAATCCCAGGCTTTTATTATTTGAACTGAAAAAAAGGAATAATTCCATTGGCTGGGGGCAGCAGGCTCCATCCTCTTGCACGAACTAGCCAGTGGAGAGGAAAATAGGTTCACATTCTAGTAAGCGCATGAGTTTCTTCTTTCTATTTATCCTTGCAATGTGCAGTACCAAGGTCTTCCAATGGATGCCAGTAATATCCCAAATGGCATCGTGCAATATAGGCCAAGGAGGAACAGTGGTAGCTCCTAAAGGATTTTGCAGTCTCCAATTCAAGTACCTGTATAGTGCAGCTTATTTTAAACAGAAATAATACAGTGTCTTATTTTCTCTGTACTATCAATTTTCCTTCAGCCATGGGGTACAAAGTGACAGATTGAACACAGGCTATGAGAACAAGAAAAAAATAATTGCTATCAGCACCAGCCGCTCTGCCATATGTATTGGACAAACCAGACTGTCTCTACACAAAAGAAAAAAAGCAATGGTCCTGCAGCATCTTAGGCACTAACAAAAAATGTAGATGGTGTCTACAAAGTGGGCACAACCCACTTCTTCAGATGTTTCTATTACAGACCAACATGGCTACCCCTCTGAAATTTTTACACAAAAGAATACATGGACACAAATGAGACACCAAGAATGGTAACATACAAAAACCAGTAGGAAAGCACTTTTCCTTCTCTGGGCACACAGTTACAGACTTAAAAGCTGCCACTCTTAAGCAAAAAAAACTTCAAAATCAGACTGCAACATGAAACTGCTGAGCTGGGACTCACATGCAAACTTGACACCATCAGAATGGGTCTGAATAGGGACTGGGAATGGCTTAGCTCAGTACAAAAAGTAATTTTCCCCTTTAGGTATTCTCACCTTCTTATCACTGTTGGAAGGGGGCTACATTCACCCTATTGAATTAGCCTCGTTAACACTTGTCACACTCCCTTCCCTGTATGTAGATATCTCCGCCATCTGATTCTTTCGCTTCATGCATCTGACAAAGTGAGCTGCAGCACTAGTAAATTTGGTAGTCTGTATGCCCTGGAACTCCTTGCTGTTCCTATTCTACATGTTTTGTTAGTTTTTAAGGTGTCACTAGTCTATTTGTTGTTTTTTAAGTTGTACCTGTTCTGTCATTCTTGCCATGAGGTGGTAAGCGGGCAGTCCTAGGAAGGTCTTCAGAAGTAGAGATGTAAAAGCCCATTTAAAATGTTAATTAGCTAAACTATACATTTAAGGTTAAAAGCCAGGTTTCTTCAGCACAGCTGGGCACAGTTAACCCGGTAAGCGTGCTGGTCAGGCAGTGCTTACAGTAAGAATAAGAATGGCCATACTGGGTCAGCCCAGCCCCGTCTGCCCACAGTGGCCAATGCCAGATGCCCCCAGAGGGAGGGAACAGAACAGGGAATCATCAAGTGATCCCTCCTCTGTCACCCATTCCTGTTTCTGACAGAGGTTAGGGACACTGTCCCTACCCATCCCGCCTAATAGTCATGACGGCCCTAGCCACCATACATTTATCTAGTTCTATTCTGGAACCTGTTAAAGTCCTGGTCTTCCAGCACATCCTCTGGCAAGGAGTTCCACAAGTTAACTGTGCTCTGCCTGAAGAAAAACTTCCTTTGGTTTGTTTTAAACCTGCTGCCTATTAATTTCATTTGGTGACCCCCAGTTACCGAGGGGGGGGGCTGCTCAGCTCACCCCT